AATAGTTTCGAAGTAAAAGTTGCGAAAAATTTACTCTGATAAGCGGGGTGTTACAGAATCCGTACTATCTGTTGACTTGGTTAATAATTTGGCTCAGGAAATTTTGTCACTTTCAGAGGATAATACCGTGGGCGACACCATCAGGACTTTAGCAGACAACTCACTACTTAGCATTGCCCCAGGTCAAGCCAATGAATTGGAGAATCACATGATCATGGATGATGGCTTAGAGACCAATGGTAAAGGTGAGTCTAGTGGTATTAGTTCTTTCGATACTAATGAAAATCCCCACCCTCCATTTTGCAGACACCCGTCAAGGAACTGAAGTCGTTGGCCGACCATGTCAAGTATGTATTCCTGGGAAAGGAAAACACACCTCCAGTGATTATTTCGAGTAAGCTTACCAAAACTCAAGAAGACGAGCTCGTGAAAGTTCTCCAGTCACATAAGCAAGCGTTGGGGTGGATTATCTCGGACATAAAGAGAATAAGCCCCTCAATTTGCACGCATTGCATTTTATGGGAAATAGAAGTTGAACCTGTTCGTCAACCCCAACATCGCTTGAATCCGGTGGTGTTGGATGTCGTGAAAGCTAAGGTCTTGAAGCTTCTGGAGATGAGTGCAAGCGGCGAGCATAAGAAACTACGAACTCAAGAACTGGAAGAGATGAGAAACGAGGCCGATGAGAGCGCTAAGATCTACAAGGAGAAGACGAAGGCTTTTCATGATAAGATGATTTCGAGAAAGCAGTTCATAGTTGGGCAGAAAGTTCTCCTGTACCAGTCCCGTCTTTGGTTGTTCCCAAGGAAGCTACGAATGAGAGGGGAAGGACATTTTGAAGTCACCAAGGTCTGTATGCATGGGTCAATTCAGATTCGAAGTCCGTCAAGCTCGAAGGCTTTTGTAGTCAATGAACATCGACTTAAGCCATATCACGAGAATTTTCAGCTTGAGCATGAAGAAAGAATGGGTCCCCAGGACTCCGTTTATTCTGAATAAATCGAGAGCTTCGTGTTGAGCCAACGATGATAAAAAAGGCGCTTTTTGGGAGGCAACCCAATTTATTTTTTTTATTTTTATTTTTTTATTTTAGATTTTTATTTATTTTTTATTATCTTGTTAGTCTTTGTTTTGTTATTTCTCTAGTTTTGTTTAGGATTTGGAGTGATTTTAAGGTAGACACGATTTCTTGAAGGCATGAGCGAACCACGTACACGTTAAATGATAGTTTTAAGCCGTGCCCATGCCTTAAAATAATTTGTTTCTGCTGCTGATACTTTTTCTGTTCTCTATAGCAGGAATTTTGTTGGAACACTGGGACTGATGGTGTTGGGCTTAAAACGACATGACCATGTCAATAGAGACTTGAAATTTCTTCACAGCAACATGGACCTCACTATAGAATAAGGAATCATGACAGCTTTAATGGGAGTTCTGACAGATCTTTGAGGAAATTAAAGGTTGTTCATGCATGCCACCTGGATAAAATTTTGTGAGTCTCTATGCCTATATTCCCTCATAGTATTTGAAATGTGGTCAAGAGTATTTGTCACAGTTTTGAGTTTTTAGGTTTGTTTA